CAGAGCCCAATGTGGGGTTCCATCTTGCCAACCGTGAGATCATGACCTGAGCCGAAATCAAGAGCCGGACACCCAACCGACTGAGCCACCCGGCGCCCCCCCCCCCCTCCCGCCCCCGTCCTCCGGTCTTAATTCCCTTGAAGCCAACCTGTCACCCCGCCTGGTCCGGGAACAGTCCCCGTGTCCTGCTGGAATGTGGCTGCAGGGAGGTCTCCCCACCCTCTGGGATGAGATGAACTTGATCTAAGCCACTGTTGGCGGGAAAGTCCCCTGAGAAGTCTACCCTGAGGCCTTCCTGCTGCAGGCCCAGAAACAGAGAAGGCTTGGGGGCATGCAGTCTTTGGGGTGGGGTCCTGCCTGTGTGCAACACCTTCTCCCCTCTCCCCAACACCCATACGCAGGCGATCTACATGGGCCGGAACCCCCGGGACGTGGCGGTCTCGCTGTATCATTACTCCAAGATCGCCGGGCAGTTGAAGGACCCCGGCACACCTGACCAGTTCCTGCAGAACTTTCTCAAAGGCGAAGGTGAGGACTGGGGCAGAGTGGGGGTCTGGAAGGGGTGCCCCTCTTGGGCCCAGACAGGAAGGGGGCAGGGGAGGAGGTAAGAAGGAGAGAGAGAGGCAGCGATACAGGGCGTGATTGACCGTGAAGGCGACAGGTGTGTAAGAGACCGAGCGACGGTGACAGACACAGCAATGGGGAGAAAGAAGCGGAGAGAGACTGAGAGGCCCAGAGTAAGCAGGAGACAGAAGGAAACAACGGAGACAGACAGACAGACACACAGATACAGAGAAGGGAAGAAACAGAGACAGAAATGCAGAAAAGGGGCAGAAACAGAGAGAGATGGGGAGACAAAGGTTCTCTCTCTGGGGGCCAGATGTGGCAGGGGGGGGCTTGGGGGAGGCATCCAGCCCCGAGGCACCATGCCCGGCCCCCCCCCCCCGCCCCGGTCCCCCAGCGGGGGTGGCCCTGCTGCCCGGCCCTCATCCGCCTGCCCCTCCGCCCCGCAGTGCAGTTTGGCTCCTGGTTCGACCACATTAAGGGCTGGATTCGGATGAAGGGCAGAGAGAACTTCCTGTTCATCACCTACGAGGAACTGCAGCAGGTGATCGCGCCCCCCACCCCCACCCGGCGCCTCCCTCCCCCCTCCCCTCCTCCCGCCCCCTTCCCTTCCCCCAACACACCAGGTACTGGGGGCACAGCGGTGAACAGAGCAGAGTCCCGATCCAGGGAGCAGGAGAGGGGCCACGGGCAAACAAAGAAAACA